GATGTTATATAGACCACTGGGACATGCAGATGTCAGAGAACTAATACAATCTTTTCTTCCCAGCATTAATATCTTACCAAAATGTAAATATATTTGACCAGTACCAAAGTATTTGAAACACTAAATCAGCAACAGAAGCACCCCCATTTCCCAAGTATCCTTTCTTGGGGGTGACCTGTCACTAGAACAGTTTCCACAATTGAATGGAATTTTATCTGGCAAATTCCAGAGCAAAATGTTTTAGGACAACTCAAAGTAAAAACAAACAAAAAACCTCTCTTCCCAAGTCAAAGGAAAATGCCTGAAGACACATTTTACTCCTTTGATTTTATTCAAGATAAATATTCTCTTCAAAAAAAGCACTCACTGAGAATGCAGCAGACTTAGGAGAGGGAGGGCACTGAGACGTGTAAAAGAATGGAGTGGGCTGTTGCAGGAATCGGAAGCCATTGATGGGGATATTTTGTTTGATGCAATGGCCGTATCCAGTGGTGATAATGAGGGACTGATTGAAATGGTTGGCATGTAACTTGTTATAGAAGTCAGTTTAGATTGGAGAGTAAGAATACTTTAGGAAGGGCAGGTAGTTACAGAGAAAACTGGGAGTCTAGACGAGCACTTAACCAAGAACTGAATTGGTTAAATAGTTATGAAGTCAGTAAAAAAAAAAAAAAAAATCAAAGCACACCGAATTTGTATACTTTAAGTAAGTGTTAGAAGTGACCTTGAAAAGCCATCTGGTCCAGTCTCTGCCACTAAGACAGGTAAAGCAGTACGATCCTGCTTTATACACCTACTGTTTGAAAGTGTGGCACCGGCATTTGCAGGGACGTGTTTATTGGTGAACGTCTTTGCTCTAAGTGCAATGTAACCCAGGACATCCCGGCAGGAACTGCATGGTATTACACTGTCGTGCGGCAGCCCCTAGTCACGTGATGAGAACCCTCTCTGGCCGTCCCTGGCGTAGAATTCTGAGCGCTGGAACACACATGTTTATAGAGCTTTTCTCTTTATAGTCTCCCACTCTAGTCCCTTCTCTCATTCAACAAAGATACTCTGTTTAAAACAATTCCTCATAGTCCATCCTAGGCTCCTGGTGGGCACCTCCTTCTCATCTGACATTCACTCTTACTGTTCATGCTGCAGACTCTTCCAGGGTTTCCTAGGGTGATTGCCTTGCCCACCTCCACTGTCATCATCCTTTACAAACACTTCCAAATCCAGACCTGCTTCTCCTTCCCAGGTCTCTTCTGAGCTGCAAATCGATGTTCTCATCTGTCCGCTTATTGCTCATCCCTGCCTGGATGTCCCGTAGGTTCCTCAAATGTAACAACTCAAACACTGAACTCAGTATCTTCTCCCCTAAACTCCTTCCTCACTTAAAATGGACAGTTCCTCTGTCCCTGCCCTTCATCAAACTAGGATCAGGCTTCTAACTCAGACGGGCATTCTTCGGGTCTGTCATACTTTGTGCTGCCCCCCTTCCTCTTTTTATCTTCCTACTTGTCCACCGTACACAGTCCTCCAACTATTACAGCTTTCATCAATCACTTCTAAGCACTAGGACTCGTTGAATATTTCGTGATAGTCTAGACTTGAAGTCCTACCAACGCATTATTATTCTTTGCCTACAGGCAAAACAAATTCTTTATTCAGTATGAAAAGGGTCACATAGTCTGTGACCAGAAAATTAAAAGCTTGGGCTGAATCCTTTGGAGATTAAAGACACATCAAGATTTATTTCCTGGAATAAACAGCATTGTTTGATGATGATGTATCTTATATTAATACCAGAGAAAAAAATTTTAAAGAACAAAACTACTTTTTTAAACTTTAAATTTCCACCAAAAAAAAAGTATTCTGGAATTACTTGTATTTTCCCATTTTCCAAATTTAACTCTTAAATGTATTCATTCATTTATTCACTAATTCATTCAACTCGTTAGAAACTAGGATTTGAAAGAGAATTCCTGAAGCAGGAATTTTACAGTCCTGGGAGATACCCATATTCCTGTAAAATAATGAAAATATATTTAAAAGTAAATGTCACCGAAAATGTAAAGAATTCCAGATATTTATAAGATAGCATAAAATAAACATTTAGTAAAGTCACACTTGAGTAACACTGATGGCATTAGACTCTTGGGGAACAGATCTATATTACCTTAGTTTACCTTAGTTTGGAATTGACCCCTTTATATATCGTATCTCTGAAGACTCTAGAAATTATCAATTATATGTTAAGATCTTGAACTGAAGTTTGGTTTAAATCTGCTAAGCATCTAAGTAATATTTAATCCTTCGATGTAGCAGCCTCTGTGCTTTTTCTGCAAACCATGACTGCAAAGCCTCATAATTGCAGTAATTAAGATGATTCTTTAAAGTATCATTCATCTGCCTGTTTCTGTATTACACCAAGTGTGAGTGCAGCACCTGCTACCTTTCAGGACTGATCAAATAATTAATAGCATGAGTAAGTTTTACATATCTCAAAAGGGGACTGTAAGGTCACATTACAGACTAGCTAATAGCGTCTCCTTGTGTCCAGTGTTTGTCTGTACCAGGTCGATGCCCATTTTCCCTTGAAGGCTTACATGAAATGGAAGCTTGGAAACAAGGCCCAGGAGCCTCCCCTCTGAGCTGGGGCTCTTTCTGGCAGGAAGAGGATTTGAGAAGCCTGGTGTCTACTGGCCAGTAAAACAGCCTTTCCCAGCCTGTATTCACGGATGGGTAGTCCCACCTGGTGCTTGCCAAAAAAGCAAACAATTGGGTTTTCAAGGTCGTACTAGTTTGGAGCGATACTATGAAACACGCACGGTCCCCTGAGAGATTCAGCACCTCTGCTGGCATGTTCGAAACGAGAAGTCCTTTAGGAAAGAGACAGGCATAACTCTGTTCATCCCACCCGCCCAGGCGTATCTGACCACGGGGCCCTTTTCCCGAGGGGCCTCTGGTTGAGGAGCACCTAGTAATGTCCCTGCAGAAGCCACAGGACGGCGCGTGGCCCTGAGCCCGGTTACTCTGTGTTCTTCGGCAGCCTTGACCAGGGCCGCCTTGCCCGCCCAGATTTCCCACAGACTATTGAGACGGAAACCTCTTCTGCGAACATAGAATCCTTCACAGACTAATCTGCACGGTGCTCGCTTTTTCTTCCCCCAGCAGACAAGTCAGATCAGCAGAAGCAGGGGTCCAGCCCGTGATTTGGTGTAATTCTCTACCCCAAAGCCGATTATTAAATCAGCCTTTCCGGCAAAAGCCACTTCAACACCCACCGCCAGATGTTAAATCCTGAAGGAAGGAAGCTGTGTAATATTTTTAAGGCCTCCAGGTCTACTGCATGCAGTTCATTTGCTTTGTTGTCTGAACGTAGGTAGCACTTGCAGGTCCGCGCCAGACGTGCCTCTGCAGTCGCAGTGGCCAGCACCCACCCAGCAGGCCGGGCCCTGTGCCTGCTCTCACTGCCATCTGTCTTTTACCCGCGGAGCAGCCCTAGACGGTGGCCGATGGGGAAACAGAGGTAGGGAGGTTCTGTCACTTGTCCAAGGTCACATAAATACTGAGTGGCAGAGCCAGAACTCAGAACCCAGTAGTCCACCTCCAGAGTGCACACACCAGCCCGATTCCCCACATAGCTCTCCATGTGGAATTAATCCAGGCTGACCTCGAAGGACCAGGTCTTTGCCCACACTTGACCTTAGAGAGAACCTTCGTGAGCTCGTTTCTTTTGGACAGGGAAGCCATATCAAAGGCTGTACTTTGAAGAAAGAACTTGGTGAGAGAAAATGAGGTGAATGTGGGGTCAGATTTTGGTACTGGAAGTGGGGCTTCCAGTGGTGAAGTTTTGTGTATCTCTGTTGTCACATCATCCCGTGAACTCTTTTTACCACTGAAAAAAAAAGGGGTGAGTGCCTTTACATCAAATCAGAGTAGAGAACGAATCCAGAAAACCCAGAATCAATTCAGAAAAACTCATCCTGAAGACTATTCCTCTGGAAAGACTGCAGGTACCAAAACCTGAATTAGTTTATCATTATTTCCATAACAAGTTGTCACAAGTAGTGGCTTAAAACAACACAAACTTATTTTCTGACAGTTTTGAAGGTCAGAAGTCCAACAATCGGTCTCACGGACTAAAATCAAGTTATTGGCAGGGCTGAATTCCTTGCTAGCACCCCTGGGGGAGTCTGTTTCCTTGTCTTTTCCAGCATCTAGAGGCGGCCAGCATTCCTTAACTCAGGTCTTTCTCACATTACATTTCTCTCTGACCACAGCTGGGAAGCTTCTCTGCTTTTAAAGGACCCTTGTGACTACACCGGGCCCACCCAGATAATCTCCCCATCTCAGGTCCATAGCCTTAATCACGTCTGCAAAGCCTCTTTGCCATTAAAGTAACATAAGTTCCAGAGGTAGGATGTGGGCATCTTGAGCAGCCGAGGGGAGTGGGAAGGGCATTTTTATGCCTACCAGAGCTGTGCAACTTAACCCCTCTGAATCTTGGTTTCCTCATCTGTAAAGTGAAGATAATGATGGCGCCTGCCTCCTAAGATTGCTGTGAGGATGCAGTGAATGAGTTCAAGTAAATCATGTGGTGAGCGTGCGGTCCGTGCCCTTATTATTTCTGGCCTCTGAGACAGCACGCAGCAAAGCAGCCTCTTCCTGGGTGGCAGCAACCTGCAGAAATCACAGCTGCTTTAGTGCTGGTGTTTTCAGAGGAGGGGGTGGAATTAACATTAATCCATGCTGCTTGAATGTTTTGTTCCTAGGCGCTCCATGATCTCTGGCCACAGGACAGAACCCAAGGCCACTACAGTCATTATGTGAATAATAGGAACTCATGTTTTATTTATCTGAAGCCACAGAGATGGAATTTGCAAAAAAAAAAAATTCATACGTGATTTTTAGAGCAGATGACTACCCTCACCCCCCCCCCACAAATTAATAATCGGCACGCTGACAGATTTAGCTAACGTGCTCGGAGCATCAGTGCAGGGAGAGCTTTCTTCTCTCCAGCCACAAATTCAGTGGTCCCAGGTGCTGCTGTGAGCTGTTTGTAACTGCATCTCGTGAGAAATGGTAACCCATGGTTGAGGGGAGACCAAGCCCAGAGAGAGAGCTCTGTTTTGATGGCAGCTTTTGGGAAGGCAAAGAGATAGGAGTTTAATAGCTTTTGTAGCACAGCTTGATTAAACGAAAGGTCTAGCAAATAAGTCCTATGAGGAGAAGTTAAAACAATTGGTTTAATTTACCAGGAAAAGAAAAGGCTAAGGGATGAGTTAATCTTCCATATTAGATGAAAAGGTTTTTAAATGAGAAGGATATGGTCCTGTTGTTTTCTGTGCCCACGGAGGACTACAGGGAAAAACAAGCCAACAAGCAAAACCTTGAGTTGGAACAGTAGAGACTTCTGTTTCTTTAGAGAGGATTCCATAAGTAAAATGCAGTCTTGAAAGTAGTGAAGTCCCTAACTCTGGTGAGTTTTAAGAAAAAATTTAGCGTTCGTACTTTTATTTATCCAACATAAACATTCATACTGTATGATTTCAGTCCAGAGGTACTGTCTCTTTGAGGAAAAAAAAAAAACCCTTTGATTTAAGTTATCTTAGGGCTTCAAAAAAGAAAAACACTAAAAAATAAAACTGAGAACTCAAAATTACACTAGAGTTTCTTAAGGGGAGGAAAATTTTAGACATTCAAATACTTATTGAACACTCTGTTTATTAGACATTGGGTCTGTGTTGTTGGCAAGTTGTTCGTACTAAATTTGAGGTGTAATTTATTCATTAATTCCACAAATATTATACATTATTGAGTGACCAACTGTGTGCCGGGCCCTGGACGCAGATCAGTTCCCTGTTCTCACAGTGTGCTAGTGTGGAGACAGACAAGAGCCCATAAATGCGTGAACAGGAAACACGCCAGATGATAATAAAACGCTCCACAGGAGCCACCTGAGTTCAGGGCTGTGATAGGACGACTGGGTGGCTCTGTTAGATCAGAGTGATTCGAGAAGACCTCTCAGAGGAGGGGACGTTTAACCTGAATGCTGAGTGACTAGGAGGAGCCATTGTACAAACAGTAGCTCAGGGAAAGAGCCTTCCGGGCAGGGCAAACCATTAGTGCAAAGACCTAAAGGCAGGAGCGATCTGAGGCCTGCAAAGCACTGGTGGGAGAAAAAGGGCCATTTGTGGCTGGTGCAGGTTGGACCATCCAGGAGCCAACTGTACAACATGATGCGATCCTGGCAGTCTGCTGGGGCTTTGTAATGCAGGAGGGAGTTTGGATCTTATGCTTAATGTGATAGGAAACCATCGGAGGTTTAAGCAAAGGAATGACTAGAGCTAATTTATATGTTTACTACATGTACCGTCCTGAATGAGTCTCATGAACATAAAGCATAGTGAAAAAAAAGCAAGTATGATTCCACTTGTATGAAGTCCAAACATGCAAAAATAAGCAGTGTCACATGGGGATACATAGAAATGCAATAAACCATAGAGAAAATGAATGGTAAGTGCAAAACGCAGTGCAGTGGTGCCCAGAGAGGTCGCAGGAGGAGGGGTGTGCAATTGGGGAGGGGAGACCTTGCAGGGACCGAGAGGTTCTGTTTCTCATGTTGGGCAGAGGGCCCATGAGCACCTGTCATATTACTGTAAATACCTTACATGTATCTCCTGTACATCCTCTACGAATGAAATATTTCATTATCCAGATTGTGTTTTTAAATGATTCTTCTTGCTGTGGAATGGCTGGGCTGTAAGATGGCAAGAGTCAAATCAGGGAAGAAGTAGCAGCTCCTGCAGCGGACAGAGAGGGTGGCAGGGAGTGAGGGAGAGGGAGCAGTTTTCACCCTGTGCAACAGGGCATGTGCTAACGCCATCTACCGAGTGGAGGCCCAGGAGGAACAGGTAAGAAAGGTGGGCAATCGGGGTAAGTGTCACCTGTAATCGTGTGATATGCCATTAAACACGCATGTGGAAGTGTCTGGTGGGCAGCTGGGTAAATGAGACTGGAGCTGCAGGGAGGTCAGAACTGGAGATCTTGATCTGGGCGTCATTGCCAAATAGGCCCTGGGTCTGGATGGCTGAAGCTTATCCTGTTCTCATGTACTTGAAATTGTCCTTAGGAACTCCAGTCACCCTCAAATCTCGTAGGAGAATTGTTGCAAAATCAAAAAGAGAAGTGTGACACTCTGAAAACTTTGCATAGAATAATGTATACTTTATTCGTCATCTTTTTCATTTCTAGATTTTAGAAATATTAATTTTCTGCATCCTCCTGTATTTCCATAAAAGAAAAGGAATGAAGCACATTGTGATTCTGCTAACCCTGGTGGCACTTCTAGGTAAGGATATGTTGTTTTCTCTTAAAAAAATTTTTTTTAATTGAAGTATAGTTGATTTATAATGTTGTTAGTTTCTGGTATACAGCCTAGTGATTCAATTATACATATATATATTCTTTTTCATTATAGGCTATTACAAGATTTGAGTGTAGTTCCCTGTGCTGTACAGTTGGACCTTGTTGTTTATCTGTTTTATATATAGTAGTTTGTATCTGCTAATCACAAACTCCCAATTTATCCTTCCCCCTTTTTTCTCTTTGGTAACCATGAGTTTGTTTTTTATGTCTGTGAGTCTCTGTTTTGTAAATAAGTTCATTTGTATCAATTTTTTTAAAGATTCCACATATAAGTGATATCATATGGTATTCTTCTTTCCCTCTCTGACTTACTTCACTTAGTATAATAATCTCTAGGTCCATCCATGTTGGTGCAAATGGCATTCATTCTTTTTTATGGCTGAGTAGTATTCCTGTGTGTGTGTGTGTGTGTGTGTGTGTGTGTGTGTATCACATCTTTTTTTATCCAATCATCTGTCAATAGACATTTAAGTTGCTTCCATGTATTGGCTGTTGTAAATAGTGCTTCTATGAACATTGGGGGTGCATGTATCTTCAAATTAGAGTTTTCTCCAGGTACATGCCAGGAATGGAATTGCTGGATCATATGTCTATTTTTAACTGTCTAAGGAATATCCATACTGTTTTCCTTAGTGGCCTCACCAATTTACATTCCCAACAACAGCATAGGGGAGCTCCCTTTTCTCCACTTCCTCTCTAGCTTTTATCATTTGTAGATTTTTGAATGATGTCTGTTCTGACAGATGTGAGGTGATATCTCATTGCAGTTTTGATTTGTATTTCTCTGAAAATTAGCAATATTGAGCATCTTTTCATGTGCTTATTGGCTGTGTGTCTTCTGTGGAGGAATGTCTGTGTCTTTTGCCAATTTTTTGATTGGGTTGCTTGGTTTTTTTTTTTTATATTGAGTTATATGAGCTATTGGTATATTCTGGAAATTAACCCCTTGTCAGTCGCATCAGTTGCAAATATTTTCTCCTAGTCCATAGGTTGTCTTTTCATTTTGTTTCCTTTTCTGTGCAAAAGCTTATAAGTTTGATTAGGTGTCATGTGTTTATTTTTGCTTTTATTTCTGTTGCCTTGGGAAACTGACCTAGGAGAACATTGCTATGATTTATGTTAGAGAATGTTTTGCTTACATTTTCTTCTAGGGGCTTTAGAGTGCCATGTCTTATGTTGGTCTTTAAGCCATTTTGAGTTCATTTTTGTGTATGGTGTGAGGGAGTGTCCTCATTTCATTGATTTATATGCAGCTGTGCAGCTTTCCCAGAGAAAGAGATTGTCATTTCTCATCATATAGTCTTGTCTCCTTTGTCAAAGATAAGTTGACCATAGGTGTGTGGGTTTATTTCTGGCTGTCTATTCTGTTCCATTGATTCGTATGTCTGGTTTTTTGCAAATATCATACTGTTTGATTATGTAGCTCTGTAGTATTGTCTGAAGTCTGGGAAGGTTATGCCTCCAGTTTCTCTCTTTTTCCTCAGTATTGCTTTGGCAATTCTGGGTCTTTTGTGACTCCACATAAATTTTAGGATTATTTATTCTAGTTCTGTGAAAAATGTCCTAGGGAATTTGATAGGGTAAACTGTTTCTAATTCTCTAATCTAGCAATGCTAAATCATAGAAGAGTTTGAAGGAAAATATTTGAGCATCCTATTTTTTCTCATTGTTTCTACTTTTCAATTCTGATCTCTAGAAAGAAACTGAGTCTCAGTGAAGCAAACTACATTTTGTATGTCCATTGCTACAACTGATATTTAAAATTACCAAGAAATAAAAATTCTTAAATATCTATTTTTATTGGCTCTCTGGCAATTTGGAGATTTTTTTTACTTAGTAAATAAATGAAAAATATAAAAGAGGAACAAATGAATGAACCTGGCCAACTGAAACTTTTGTATCACAAATTGGTTACCAAGGCCTATCCTGTTTACATTTAAAAAAAGAACTTAAAATGTGGATAATATGAAACATAAATGTAAGCAGTATGATTTTCTTAAATACATTTCTTCTGTTCATTGTTTACATACCCATTTCCTTTTTTTCTGGAGGCACCCGTAAGATTTGAAAACTACTCAGATAAGCCCACAATACATTTGAAATCTGTTCTCCCTCCCCACTCCTCCTCCTCCACTGCTCCCCACCCACTCTGGTCTCTCACACACACACACACACAGTCATATCTATCAACACTAGGAGATCTCACTAATCATTTGGAGAATTCCCTTTTTAAAAATCTGTTTATAATTCTCCCTTCGCCCCTTCTTTGCCCAAGAGATGACCCGTCCATCAGGTGTTGTTCGCTCTGGCTTAATGGATAGGACTTAGACTGTTGGGGCAGCTGCAGCCCCTGTGTTCATGAGGTGCTGGAGCTTTCGTTTCTTCATTTCATCAGCTAGTTCTCTCCTTCAAATTGGAAGATTTGCATCAGTGATAGTTATTTACAGAAACAAATGTACTCTAGAACCTATTCAGGTATGCTGTTGATCAAAAGAACAGGAAAGGAACTTTATATTTGTTATCTTCCAAACTGCCAGTGAAGGAGAAAAACTAAGGGAAAGCATATACATGATATAGAAAAATATCGAAAATAAAGGAAATTTCAAATAAGGTAATAGAATTAAGACCATACATACCAGCTATGATCACTAAATGTAAATCGGGTAAATTTACCAAGTAAAACAGGAAGATTCCCAGACTGGACCTCAGAAATATTCCCTTGTTGATTTTGAAAACGATTCTGAAATTGGATTCAGCCAGTTTGCCCTGGTTCAGCTCTATAAGGGTTTTTGAAATAGTAACCTTTCCAACTGACCCTTGGTTGTGAAATATTTTGACTTCAATACATAAATTTTATCTAAAACACGGTAACTCCAACTGAAAGTTAAAGAAGGTCACGGTATTACCATCTAAATTAAAATCAAGGCAGAAGCATTAAATGCAACAGAGGATCCTGGAAGGCGCCCCTCTTGGCATTTAGTTGCTAAATAGGGTAGGACTGGGGCTTGGAAGGAGCAGGCAGCTGGGGAAGGGGGCCTTCAGTAGACTGGGCTGCAGCGATTTCAGAAACTACATTAACAGAAATATAAGAGGAACAGGAGACTTCTCTAAGCTCTTGGAAATAAGTAGACAGAAAAATAGGTAAAATTTGAGAAACTGATTGCTTAATTTTGATCCGGCAGCTCTATGTTGAACGCCAAATCCAGAAAACAGAATACACCTTCTTTCAAGTGCCTGTGTAACATTTACAAAAGCTGATCTTATAATTGGCCACAAAGAAATTTTTGATAAATTCCAGGAAGTTGAAATAGTACAGACCACATTCTCAGATCACAGTGAAATAAAAACAGAAAATAATAACAAAATAGAAACCAGTGAAACCATAGCACCTGCGAATGTCAGACGCTTAACTGCAGCTGGGCCGAAGTAGAAACCAAGATTTCATTACAGCATTATATTTCTTAAATTATTATGAAAACACTTAATATTAAATGTATAGTTTTTGACTACTGCTATATTCAGAAGGAAATTCATTGCTTTAAATTTAAGTAAGTCAGTTAAACACTCAAGAAGTTAGGGGGGAAAAAAGACACTGAAATAAAGCTGAGGCAGGCAGAAAGGAACAATTAGTAAAGGGAAAAATTAATGAACTAGAAAACAGAAAAGCAATAGGTTGATTTATCAACCCAAGCATCAGTTCTTAAAAGACAATAAAATAGATCCTCATGAGACAAAATATATGGAGTACTGAAAATTAGAAATAATACACAGATAATGAAAATAAATGTTAAAACTTGAATGAATCACTTATTCTTTTAAGGAAAATAACTGGAGAAAATAGAGGAGTTGTTAAAAGGCTACATCCTAAAAAGAACCAGGCCTAGAGTTTCATAGATGATGCCTTAAATTCTGTGAGGACCAGATTTATTCCGGTGTTGTTCAGAGTACCTGAGGACATAAGAAGAAAGCTTTTGCTCTTTTTTTTTTTTTTACATAATCTGTATAAATACTCCTCTCAAATAGCACAAGAATACTATGAACTAATTTCACTAATGAATATTGAAGTAAAAATCCCCAAATAAAAATTAACAAATGGAATGCAAGACACATCACACTTCATGACCAAGTGGTCTTAATGAAACCAGTTCTTTTTCACATTTATAATCACTTCTACTTAATGTGTTCTATTTATATATTTATAAATTGTTTTGAGCGCATCTTCCTTGACAGATTAGTTCCATGAGAACAAAGACCATGTCTGTTCTAGTTACACTATGTATACTTTACTAGAACTGAGCATAGTGAGATAAAGATTCAAATTCATTACCAACGAACTAATTGTGGAAATGAAAGGCTGACCCTTTAGGAAATCCATTAATATAATTCATCAT